GAACCGGCAACCTTCTAGCTGTGAGGCAACAGTGCAAACCACTGCTCCACCTTTCAGCCCTATCAACTGTTCAGTACATTCTAAAAAATAAAAAACGAAGGACGCACTGATGAGCTCAGCAACGCCAAAAGACCCAAAGACCGCGGAAAACAAGTGTGGTGGATGACAGAAGAATCCTTTCCCTGGTCAAGAAAAACCCTTCACAGCAGTCGTCCAGATCAAGAACGTTCTCCAGAAAGGCAGCTACATCTATGTCGAGAAGACGTCACCAGAGTGAATACAGAGGGTTCATTACAAGGTGTAAACCTCTGGTGAGCCTCAAAACAGGAAGGCCAGATTAGAAAAAAAAAAATCCTCTTAGGGGCCTGTGCAGGTCTGGAACCTCCTCTGGAAAAATGAGACAAAGATGAACTTGTACCACAATGACGGGAAGAGAAGAGTATGGAGAAGGAACTGCTCAAGATCCAACTCCCACGCATTCACCTGATTTGGATGTGAATGCCCTCAAATTAAAACTGAAAGTCTGCATCTAAAGCATTCCAAACCCAATGCGGTGGCATACAAAGCGGAAATGCTGAACACGGCGTCATTTGTCCAAATGTGTCCGGACTTGACTGCATCATCGCTGTCGGTTCCCCAGAAATATTGCCAGTGTGAGAGACTTCCGTTTCAGAGAAGCGGCTGTGTTTAGAGGAAGGGCATTAGAAGAGAAAAGGCCTCGCTCACAACAGGAGTGACTCATCATATCACTGCTGCTGCTGAAACAAAACAATAAAAGAGATAAAATGCTGCTTCTCGCGGGACCACGATGTCAAATTTGATGAGACGACATCATGTCCTGTATGATGTAAAGAGCGCAGGTGATGGTCTGCTGAGCAGTGGAAAGAAGGCTTAAGATTAGATATGCATTTCTCAGGAAGCCGTTGTATACAGATGCAGCATACGTCCACTGCTGACGCCGTGGGCACCGAAGTTAGAATGGAAAATTACCCACTTATTGTGCAGAGGTTACTTTCCAGCCACATGTGGGTCTGCTGAAGCGCTGCACCTACAGACAAAGTGTTTTAGATAGAGACGGGGAGTGGAAATTTCCAAACTGACCAACTTGATTATGCAGCGTAAAGTTCCAGCTACTTACTCATTCTGTGCATTGTCAGTGGGCTGCCATGAAATGAAGCATGGACAAAAAAATGCGATCCCAGTGAGGCATAATGTGTTATTTATGTCAGCACACATTCATGTCAGTAGGTTCGTTATTGTAGAAACTCAAAAAGACGGATAAATACTATGGATGTGTGTTCGCTAATAGCAATGCTTTTATCGTACATTTTTGTAAAGGATAATGTTTAAATACTCCAAAGACATGTTTTTATTCCGCAACACTCCTATTAAATATGTATTTATTCATTCGCTTGACCCATAGGTGTAGATTCAGAGTTATAATAAACGGCTGATTTACAGGAAACTCTACAGATGCTGCAGACTGCAGAGCTGACACATCCATCATTTATTGGAAGTTGTCTCTAAGACTAGACTTTGCCCGTTAATGCTGTTATTGCGCTGGATCTCATTACTATAATTGTAATTGCGGCTATCGCAGCAGCTGGTCCCAATGTGCGCAATTAGCGATTAGCTTGCATCCCCTTGTTATTGTACCATTTAGCTGCTAGGATGCAAAATTGCCAGCGTCCAGGATCTCTGTACAAGCAACCGAAGAAAAAACAAATATGGGGAATGATGAGTTGTGTGATTGCATTTCCCTCTCCAGTACACCCTGGCCACTGATGCCTTTCAGCTGGGCTACACCGAGGACGGACACTGCAAAGGCGAGGTGGAGCGCTCACTGCCCCACCCTCAGAGACTCGTCTGGGACATCCCCTCAGAGGTATGAGCGCAACGTTTCTGTTTCAGTAGCTGTCTTTGGACTTGAAATCACTCAACACTTCAGAATCGTGTTTTTATTTGTATTCATCATACATTGTTGGTAACATACCGCATGTTCCACCAACCATGCCAGCGTATGAATATGATCTCTGCTTGAACAGTCTTGTTTTCACTCTGCTGTTTTTGTTGTTTAAAGAGAAAGTCCTTTTCATATCTCTGACTTGCTGGCAATATAACGCTGCCAACTTTCCATTAGGATTTCAAACCAGGGATTACATCATATCAAACTATACAATGGCAAAAAACAACCAAAACAACAGTAATTTCTGTTTTTAAAAAGGTTGTAAAGTTCCATCAAAATCTGAGCAGATCAATCAGCACCTTTTGACTTTTAGTCCTTGAAGTCTTGACCTCTCTATAGACGGGTTTTCTGTTGACAATAATCACAGGTGGGGCGCCGCTATAGCTCACCTGGTTGAGCTGGTGTCCCATGTATAGGGGATACAGTCCCCGATGTGGAAGTCATGAGTTCGAATCCCACTCATGGCCCTTTTCCACAGGTCCTTCCCCCATTCTTCTCCCCCACTTTCCCGTCTCTCTCTCTCTCACTGCACTATCATAAAAAGATCAAAAAATAACTTAAGGCACATAGCTGGGGTTGGAATGCTCATCGGCACAATGTCCTGGTAGCTCTTCTAACCCTTAGAGGTCTGCCGTCATGCTGGCGTGATATAATCATGACATTTTTGAGACGTTACAGGAGAAAAACAAGCACACATACAGCGATGCCGTCAACTTCACTTGAAAGTTCAGCCTTAAAACTCTGTCCCAGGTTTTGTTGATAGACCGGAGATATGATGTTCTGAAAGTACGTGAAAAAATCTTGAACTATGCGTCGTAGGCGTTACATTTTTTGCAACATCTACGAAAGAAAGTCCCTGGAGATTCAGGTCCTGTGATGTGGCTGTCTGCCTCATTCTGGACAGAAACTATTTTCAGGAGTGGCACAGATAAAAACAGAATAAAAGATGCCAAGTATGGGTATGATAAACATGTTTCTTTGTGGTGCATAAACACAAAACTGAAAGTATGCAAAACTGGTCAAAACAGGCCGAGAAATGTTCAAGATCATTTTCAAGCATCTTGTTGAAAAAAATAAAAACAATACTTTTAATAGTCTCTTGGTTCTGCTTAAGTTGGGTGACGTGAGAAAGCAGCTGCTTGTAATAAGAGCGCCTCACAAAGAAAAAACTTGTGGAAACCACCTTCCTGTCTGTGACTGTTTGTGGGGAGATACTGTACAGCCACGCAGCCTCCTCGATCCTAAAGAGACTTGTCATGCTTCACGACGTTTCATCTCAATTGCAACATCTCTCACTCACCACTGTGTTCTTTATGATTTGGTCGGCTGGACATCACTCAGCATTCATAGACAACAGCGGTGGTTTGTCTATAAAGCCCTGCTGGGCAAACTCCCAGAATACCTCGACACCCTGCTCACTCTCAGCTCGAGTCGTTACTATCTGCGTGCCTCAAAGTGGTTGCTTGTAAATAAGATGGCGTTCTCCCATCATGCACTATGGTCATGAAATAACCTTTAAAAAAAACTGGAAACATTCACATCCATTAGTGAGTTTAAGAGTGTCATAAAGAGTACAGTAAAAGAGGAGCGTCACTGTTTTCCTTGAGAGGCCGCTGTCCTTGAATAGCTGTCGATCCGTTTTATTGTTTTATCGCTTTACGGTTCATTATGCAGTCGTGTATCTGTTTTATGTTAGTTTTTCGACTTTGTCTGGCTGCTACCTCGGCCAGGTCTCCCTTGTAAAAGAGATTTCTAATCTTAATGGGACAAATAAAGGTAAATAAACAAGACTATGCTGGAAGTCACGACATATGAATTGAGAACCATGATTTCCCCCCTCTAAGAGAAACATTCATTTCATCAGATCTTTTTTTTTTGCAGCTGCCCCTGTTATGACCACATTTATATTTGTTACAGCCCTAATGGTCCCCTAGATGATGAAAGGGAGGAACATTCAGTCCAGCTGTGATGGATCAAGAACAGCAGTAAGAGGCTGGAGTTAATCTGCAGCTCCGCTGCCTTTCAGGGGTGAAGGACCGACAGACTAACAGGAAAAGTCTCAGACTGAGCAGAATTAAACGTCATCAGCAGAACCCTTTCTCAGACCTTCAGGGTGTCTCCGTATTGTAACAGTCATTACCAGTAAATCTTGTCTGTGAACTTTACCTGAAAATATCAGCTTTTCATGACGCGACAGTCTATAGCGAGTAATAATAATAATGATAACAAACTTTATTTATAGAGCACTTTTCAAAACTAATGTGCTTTCCAATAAAAATAAATTAAGCACACAGAATAATTGATAAAAGTAGAAAGCACACAAGTAAAGCAGGAAGCTATAAAACATAAAACTTAGATAAAATCAGGAAAAGCTCTCCGATAAAAATGTGTTTTAAGAAGTGACTCAAAGGTGAGCACGGACTCGGCCGACCTGATTTCCTCGGGCAGGTCATTCCAGAGCTCGGACTGAAAATGCTTTGTCCCCCTTTGTTTTCAGCCGGGTCTCTGGGACAGTTAAAAGACCTTTGCCCGAGGATCTTAAAGAGCGTGGTGGAGAGAACGATGTCAAAAGGTCGGCAGTGTACATAGGACAGAGACCGTTGAGTGCTTTAAAAGTGATTAATAAAATCTTAAAATCAATCCTAAAACGTACTGGCAGTCGATGTAAAAGAGCTGAAACAGGCGTGATGTGCTCACGTCTCCTCCTCCTGGTCACAAGCCTGGTAGCAGAGTTCTGCACCGTCTGTAGTCTGTCCAGGGATTTCTGGTTAAGACACGTAAAAAGGCTGCTGCAGTCATCCAGCCGTGAGGAAACAAAAGCATGTAAAATCATCTCTGTAGCTTTAAAATTGAAATAAGAACGAATCTTTGAAATATTTCTAAGATGGTAAAAACATGACTGTACAACAGCCTTTTGGAAAAACAGCGTCTACTTGACGCCATTTGTTCAGTAAGACAATGAAAGACGAGTGAAGAGCATTATTATTAGTATCTTCCTTTGTATAAGAATGAAACTGAGGGTTGCCAGATGGTTGCCACATCAGCTCTTTACAAGATATGAGGAAAGCTGATTCAGATCGGTTTAAATTAAAACCAGCACCAGCTCTCATTTTTATTTCAGTTTCTCTCTATGAGAATGTATGGTCCAGAAACAGACTTAATCAAAAAGCCTTTCGTGTGTCCGTGGAAATAAAAAACAGCTGCAGTGATTGGGACCCTATTTAGCATTCCTCCTCTGTAGAGGCAGGGTGCTAATAAGTATTCTGATGAGATCAGAAGTCAGGCTTTGCAGATGTTGCGTTCCAACTTCTGCAATTTTTTTTTTCTTAGAAAGGTTAGGTCACTTATTGTGATTTACCAACATGACACGCCCTCAGGCTCTGGCATCCCTGAGACCTTACTTTTAAGATTAATATTCACCATTCGTACTGTAATGCAGTGCAGTCCAGTCATCTGTGAGGCAGCTGGTAGTGAGACCCTCATTTTAAATTCAAATACTAAACTAGGGCATCCTGGAAAGGGTCATTTTCTGAACGGATTTGATGGAATTAACGTCTTGTGGGATTTATTTTGCTAAGTTTGTACAGTAATTCAACATGTACTTGATTATAAACTCACAAGGTGTTTGTACCCCAGTCTCAAAAGCTTCGTGACTGACATTAGCCATATGATCGATGAGGCTAGGAGGTTCCTCTGCATTACATCGTTGTTCTAATTTTGATGCCATCCAGCATCTTGTCTGCTTCATGAACCTTTGTTTAATTCGGAGCCGGCCGATCCAAAATACCTGTTTTTCCTGTATCATGGCTCTCCACCCATTTATATCCTGAGAGAGAGGAAGCCCAACATTTTTGATCCTTATCAACTTCCACAGTTGGTGGTGCTAAGTGAAGGAAACTGCTTTTATTTATTTTGTCAGACGCATGCACAGTGTGTCTATGAAGGCATGCGCTCCCACGGACTATGACCTCAAAGAGTACTTTCTGTTTAGTTCCATCCACTTCTCACTGGTTAATCACAAGTCCAGTGGTGTTTGATTGCAGTGGCTTGTACATAACATATATTTTTACACAGAGGTGAAGCCGTTCCGCCCACCCTCTCCTCTTCCGTCCTGTTTGAATTGTTCCAATACCAAAACCAGAAACCCAGCAAAACAAAAAAAAATGGGTTTGAATTTGAAACCATGACGAAACATTTCAGTGTTTGGGATGTTTGATTTTCCACACAGAGCACCAACAGTTATTTTATCAAATTGTTTTTAAAGATTTAGGCCACGTTTACACATACTCGAGTATTTACAGAAACAGATCTACGTTTTCAAAAATAACGTTCACACCAGATCGTTTTCTAAAAAATCTTTATTTACACAAACCCGCATAAACGCGTCGTTAAGAGCTGCTATGAGCTGCCAAACCTATAGGGGGCAGTGTACCGAGAAGCATACAGCCATGCAAGCCAATCCTGGAGAAAACAATTACTTCCTGTTACTTCAACGATAATGGCGCGAGGGTCGTTTGTTTGGACCGAGTGGAGCTGCTCCTAAATGTAGGGGTAGAGTACAAAACAAGTAAAAACACTTGAAAACATTGACTAGGAAACATGTCAGTCCAAGTATATGGACGTAGCCAACTGTAGACATGGTTGCACACATATAGCACTGATGATGCTTTTGTCGCACACTGTGACGTCAGACTCCGTCTCCTCCTGTCTACATGCAAAGGACAGAGTTTTCAGATGTGATCGTTTTCGGTGACTTGTAGCTTCGTTTGCGTGTGAACCAAAGGCCCAAACGCATTGAAATGTCACCGTTTTTGATACGTGTAAACGGGGCTTTTGTCAGATAGGAGGAAGTGAGCGGAGATAGGAAATATGAAAGGGAAAGTAAGGGAATGATGGGCTTGTCATGTCCTGCCAGCTCA